ACTCGATATTACTATGGCCTCATCGATACAACGAAATACTACAAAGGAAAATGTGGGTCTGTATCAGAACAAAAGATTACGCTCCACCACTTCGATTGTGGGTTTTTACATAAATATATGCTGGTCATTTTATATTAAATGTACATACATATAATTCTGTAGGAAATTGCATACATGTACAGATTACACTGTCACGAGTGACCATATTTACAAACTGACTGAGGAACTTTTGTTAGATAATTTTTCGCGTGTTACTTGAAGTTTAATTACAGCAAGTCCCCGTTGTACAAAGTAACTTTGAAATGCATATCAGAAAAGCCCATCCCTAATTACATCACCACACTTGCACACGCACGCACACACACACCCACGTGCATGCAAACGCGCTCGAGCTAATCCGCACGCAGAGATATGCTTCTTACTTTATCGCAGATAACAGAATGACCAGGTGATAATTGCGAGCAGAGCTCCGCAGGGGAAATTCATCGTTTGCTCACCGCGGACGAATTATACGCTAAAGAAAGGGAGAGAAAGAGAAAAGCGTAGCTCGACGACCACGTCCCAAGGTCGACGCGCGCCCTCCGAAAACTTTCTCTTTTTCTTTCGCGTCGTCGTCGACGCCGGGCGGCTGGCAAGCGTAAGGGGGAGGGTGAAAAGTTCGCGCTTCCGCGGAACGAGGTCTTTGCTCCCTGCTCCCTCTTTCCGGCTATGTCTTTAAATAGCTCGCTCGAACTTTGATGGCTTTGCTGGTACACGTTGATGAGCTTTCGATGGCCGTTTTACAATATGCTTTTAGATGACGATCGACGCATTTGCTTTCATCGCCATTTTATGCGCGGAAATGAAATTCATTCGCTCGACAAAATTACTATTTTTAAATCACGCGAAAAGGCTTACATTCTATAAATATGCAACGATTAAAAGCAAGAAGTTTGATTTTCTAGATTCAAAGCTTGATTAGTGCTGTTTGTAAATATTTAAGAATCCATCAGTCGCGCGATGTATGCCACAATTGACCGACAAGTGCAAAGTCAAATTAGATCGCCTATAATGAAATAACCCCCGAGCAAACAGACACGTAACTCACGAAGCACACAATTAAAATTACAAAGTAAACAAGCACTACGTGACAAACACAGTCTGGAACTCATGAAAAAGTAACGTCCACAATTCCAAAGCGAGCATCATTAAGCCATTATGTCATTCGCTAACCGTCTCAACACGCGAGGCGGCTCATTAAATAATGCAAAAGCTCGCACAGGTTAATCCAATTCTTCTGCTGTATGTATATATATCTGGCATATAAATCTATAATCAATAACCGGTGTGATAAACATACGCATGCAGGCTACAAAAGCGGAAGATCTGGCTGCGTATCAATGCCTTTGATGGATGAGAAACGGATTCGCAGTCTGGGCTGCGGATTATCGGTGGTGTGTATGCACGCGCGCGCGCGTGCGCGCGTGTGTGTGTGTGTGTGTGGCTGCTGTGTGGCGCGCAAAAAAAATGCGTGCTCGCACCCATTAATGATTCGGGGAGTGAGGAGAAAAAAATTGGCCATTAGACTAGCTTCGCCGAATATATACGAATGCCGAAGCTATACGTAACGCGGGCACTGCCGCGCTATCGTTTATTAGCGCAAACAGATATTAATGTATTTTTAGCGGGGCCAAGCGATGGCGTTCTTTCGGAAAAGGCGCCGCCAAATCCAATTACTTTTATTCGGATGAAATGAGTGCCGCACAGCTAAGTCATTAATACTAATCAATGGGGTGTATATACATACACAGCGCCTCGCTGCGCTGCCAACAACACGTAGGAATTACCCATAACTTCGCAACCGAGTAAATGACTTTATTGCGGAGGAAAAAAGTTTGCAACCTCTCCTCCCCGCCTCTCTCCAACGTTTACGCCGTTAAAAAATCCGAGTCGATAAGTAATGTTTATTGTTGCATTTCCAGTATTTTTTGCCCGAGCTATACAAGCCCTCCCCCGCCATGAGCTCCTGACAATACGTAGCGCACTTAGCCCCCTTGCCCCGCGCGTTTCCGGTATTACACATCCCTATGCGCGATTTTTTATCGTTACCACGACTACCTACCCCGTTTTACCGTAGAAACGATTCTGCCGATTTTTCGGGTTATTAACGAGTGCCCAGTCGAGAGCCCGGATTGACTTTTTTTCGGTGGATTTATACCAGAGAGCTTCGTTATCATGCACAAAAAAAAGGATGCTTCCCTTTCTGTCCCTCGCTTTTTTTTTAATTCATTGAAGGTAACGTTGTTTCGTGGACTCGCCGACGTGTGCACGGTCCTTTCGATTCGGCAATAATCAAATGCCTTTAAGTGAACTTTACTAGCGAAAATAACTGATTTATACGTGCGAGGTGCGAGGCATGTGCAAATGCCTGTTTGTAAATAAAGCGTCGCGTCGCCGCGGTAGACGCGGTAGCGCACCATTTAAAACATTTGCGCGCTGAATGATCTTTCGCAGCGCTCATTGTAACGAGTAAAACGAATTTGCCAATTTGAAAATGCGCGCGCGCGCGCGCGGCAATAGGATTGGCCGGTTTTCGCATTGAGCAATATATAATGAAAAGAACCGATCGCCATTCATTTAAAGCTCAACCTTCGCCATGTTTTTCATGTGCGTGTGCTCGCTCGCGAGTGCGTAATTTTCGATAAAAGCAACTAATTTTCAAAAAGCCCTTTTTGTTCCGCAGTCTCGTGAAATCTAGTGTTTTATTCTGATTTCATTGAAGGTACCGAGCACGTGAAAAGCCAAAAAGAGAGAGCGACCTCGGAGGGTTGCATTATCTGCATGCGTCGTCGCGTTATTCATTTTGCGAGCTTTCTCTCTTTTTTTCATTCAGGGATTGGTAATTAATTTTTTTTACAAATGCACCACGCGCAGTATTCAACTTTTCAAAACAATAGCTTTCACAGTAAGGTGATATGTTTGTCGGAATTTCTGTGGATTCGTTTCAATTTACGATATCGATCGATCGAATATATATGTATATGTAAATTTTTTTTAAACAACTGTAACTGAAAGCCTTCTTGACTTAATTATTCGGTGAAGCCCTTACTATGCTTGAATTCCCTCGGTCGTATATGTATGTATATGCAGTTTTAAACAACGTGTTCTGTGGAAACATCGTCGATCGCTAAGCAGATTTCTTTAATAGTTATATTTGATAACAATCCACGAGCAGATTTTAAGTAGATTAGCGTAAAAAAATCTTGGCGCCTTTGCCCAAAGCCGACAAACCGCGCAGTGGGTGCATAAATCCTCGCAGGTGTAAGATTAATGAGTTGTAAATTGGTCGGGTGATGCTCGAGTAGGAAGCAGCTAATCGAGGACGATCAAAGGAGCTGGGAGTAAAAAAGCGAAGGTGATAAAGAAGGAGTAAGGCAAAGCCCGTAGAAGAGCGAGGCCGGGACTGAAGCAATTGGTGGTGCAAACATTCGTTCCGTTAAACGCCGCGGCCTCTTTTAGGATATAGAACCGAGCGACGCCCGGTTACCGGAGGCTCTAAAACTCTTAATCTGTATCCGGCTACGGCGCTACATGTCCCGGCATATTTCCATGCCATTATGCAAAAGGGGGGCCGAACGCTAACGGAACTCCTACCCTCTCCGCCTCGCTCGCTCTCTTATATTCCGGCAGGCACCCGTGCTCCGATGATAAAACATCGTCTACGCAAGTGATTTGACGCGGCTACGCACGGGAGTGGCAGAGAAAGAGGGAAAAGCTACAACGTTCGAACGAGTTATGTGATTAAAATATGTATCGATGTAACATGCGCGTTTACAAAGTATCTTATCAGCGGTGGCATTTTTCAATCGCAGACACGAAAAGCATAGCAAAAACGAGTGCGCGTATCTTAATCGCTGGTGCCGCACTTGAAGCGAACTTTTTCGTCGCTGCAGCCGGCGATAAACTTGCACGCTCAAAGTGTACACACACGTCTACATAACAGACATATAACGTCTATCGATTTATTATAATTTAGATTGGCTGGAGAGCGGCGCATGGGCTCTCGCGTTACGCGCTAATTACACCCCGGGCAAGTATCGTGCAAATGAGCCTGGGCTTCGCGAGAGCAAATTATCTCTCTCTTGCTCTCGCTCGGCTGCGAGTAAGATTGCACGCTTGCGATAAGGGCGTCTTTTCGCCGTAGCGCATGAGCGCGCAGGCGGCCCTCTCGTATCGCCATTAACGGCCGGACGATGATAAATGAGCCAATTCACCTAATTAGCGTATAGCTCGATTCGCCGCTACGATAAATACGCAAAGCACACCACATAGCGATGACGCTATACATGCCAGATCAATCAATTTGCCGCTCCCCCCTCCCCCCTCCCTCTCTCTCTCTTTCCTTGTGGCATTTAACACGCGCTCTATCCATTGCTCGATGGCCTTTTTTTCCTGTTTTTTTTTCTTATTCATTGTCGATGCCAATTTGTTCGATCGATTTTTGGCGCAACGAGGAATGCATAATGGGCAAAACGGACTGCGAGATTAAAGTAAGCTTGCTATTGGATGCCAAGATTCTCCTTCGGTCGTCTAATAAGTTGAGAAGAAGAAAAGAACGCGCGACAAATCGTGATAATTACCACGGACGTGCTGCGCATCGCAAAAAAAAAGTATCCGCCAGTGGCGCTCGCCGAGTTTGCACCCCCCGTTCTCCATTGTTAATTCAGCCAAAATCAGACGGTTTCGCAGTAGCATTTAATGAGCTTCATTCATTATTAATTAATAATTTGTGTTATTTCGGAAGGCACAATAAAGCGTAATCATTCCGACGTCGATTGATTATGTCGTGCAGAATGCAGCGTGTTCAACGCGATGTTTTGTACTCTCGGCCCTCTTCGCCGAAAGCTAATGTATACTGGTTTTCTCTACTGAAAATTATTATGCATTCTCTGATTAACAGCAACTGGCATTGTTTGGTAAAGCCGTACTAACGAGGTAATGCGATTTTTTGGTGTTTACAGGACAGCGACAGGAGTAGTACAGATAGTCCAGAGCCGGGCTCGGGCTCGCTGTCTCACGAGCACCAATTGCTCATGGAAGGTTTGAGGAATTCGCGCAAAAGGCGGCGCAGTCCTTCGCCCAAAAACATCGATCACGCGAAGCGAGCTGCTGTTGCGCAAGCCCACCTGAACGGCACAAGTAAGTGATATCGCATAGCATTCGGCCACCAAATTATCCTGGTGGCTCATTCTGTAACGTGCGAATGCGTGGCTGCAGTGGCGGGAATGGTGACGCTGCAAAACCTGCAGAATCTGGCGATGGCGCAGAATCTGCCGCAGGTGGCATCGTTCGCGGCTGGTCTGCAAGGCATGTCCTCGGAGCTGACTAATAATCAGCTCATCAATGCACCCCTCAATCTCACGGTTACCCCGCCGGGTAGGTATATCATACTTGCCGTCTCTTAGCTGCCATTACGTCGATCGCGCCGTGCTTGCAAAACTATGTGCTGTTCACAATTACAAAACTTTATAATACGCTTTGAATGCTTGATGGCTCGTCTCTCGATGGATAATTTACAATTATCTGCAGTTGATCGCGAGGGGCATGGCCTGTGCATTATACATAATGCATCGAGGCTTCCATAAGGATCAATTAGATACTATAACGCATTTGTTCTCGCGTGTTTTTGTGGTTTCACAACAACAAAGTTTTATAATGCGTTGTGATCATTTGGCTCACAGCTGGCACGGCTCCGACGACGCCTTCCTGCACGACAGCTCCGATGGCAACTCTTACTCAGCTGCTCGCGCAACCACAGCCTGTAGCAATGCCGCAGTTTATCATGACTTCGGGTCAGCTCGTCCAAGGTATCCAGGGTGCTCAACTACTCATACCCACCTCGCAAGGTAACAATTTTTTCCCATTTCATCCTCCATTTTTCAGTTACGTGCATTTCCGTTATCACTCATTCGTGGAAAGGAGCACGCTCCCCGCTATTACTATGTGAATATAGTGAGAAAGCTCGCTCAACAAAGTAGCCTTGGAGATTCATAATGATGCTGTGTCTTGGCTAATTTATTGTCATTTCCAAATGAAATTTTCATAAAGATCGCGATTCTATAGTGCTGCGAAAGCCGCGCACATACAAACACGTAAAGTTGGCAACAGCAGAATTACGCGTGTTATCGTCGTCTTATAATATCGCAACTCGACAGATAACTAGTGGTGGGGTAGGCTATTGGCGCTGACGGAAGTTGGGATTTGGGCTTGTATCCGGATGAAGCCCTAATCACAGGCGCTTTCTCTCTCTCTCTCTCTCTCTCTCTCTTTAGCGGCTGCATAATATCTGCAGCGGCGCGTTCGCAGCGCACTCGAGGCTTGCAATCGAGTTTGCTCGGTGTTATACTAATATCGGCCATCCCTCGGCCAGCACGGGAAGAGAGGGAGAGAGAGCTGCTCTGCTAGTGCTGCTGCGAACTCTCTGGCCAACTAATTTCAATGTATAATTAACGTCTCCAACCGCGCTTGGACCCTCTCGGTCATTTCTTGCCCTCGCGGCGGTGGTGGCGGCGGCGACGACGACGACGACGACGGGTGGCTAGCGAAGCTCTTTGTCTCAGAGCGACGTTGCCACTTGGTCGCTGCTGCTGCTGCTGCTGCTGCTGCTGCTTGCTCGTTCACTCGCCATACGAAAGAGCCATGCGGATTCCTATTGATTGCGGCCACAGCCTCGCAGCTAACTTCGTTGCCGAGCGTCCTAACTTGGACACTCATGAAGCAGCCTGGACACTGATTTGGATGCACTAGCTGCGCGGATCTGTCGTTAGGAGAAAGGCAGTTATGGATATTTCGGGCTGCGTAATCAGTGTTGGTTAACTCGATTCGTCGCCGTACTTCTATATAACCCGCAAGCTCTCATTTGGTCGCGCCTTATGTCCAAGTTTGCCGAGAGCAAGCTCAATCCATCGCGAGTTACTCTGGTCTCGTTGGGAGGCGAGTTTGAGCATTTGCAAAGCCCTGATAAATGGCCAATTGATCGCTAGCAAATCTCACGCTCGAAACTCGTTTACCCTTGATTCCTAGTACGTAGCGCGGTAATAATTGCACACGCACACTACCCTAGTCGGTTTGCTTCGGGCCAATTTTGCCAAATGCTCAAGTTAACTTCACAGCTAAGAAAGTTAGCTTGTACTTCGCGAAAATGCAGCGCTATACGCACGACCTCAATCTTCTTGAGACTCCACGTACAAAGTTTCGACTCGGGCGAGTGTGGAGTGTTGCACGGCTGCAGTCCCCGCGCGTACCGCTGATAAATTAAAATTCCACCGACAACAGCCACTTTGGCTAATTTCCAGTCTAATTATGTTACTGCAATCACTAACGTACGACTATCCATTTTTCGAGTTATTTAAACACATAACATTAATTTATATTATTAATTGTTGAGATCGATTGTCAATTCAACTGTGCGTGCGGCAATCATCCTAACTTTCTAAAATACAACCGACGTCATACTTTCTTTTTTATTTCAATTTCAGTTAGTAATTTCATGTCAGAAGTTTATCCGAACTTTTACCAAGTCGAAAATTCAGCACGTATATACAATTGACGTTCGACCAAAAAGCCTATTACTACTTAAAAGCCAGGTAACCACCAAGGGCAATTTTTCTGCGGCTACTCTTCGGGATAACTCAATTTGAAGAAAAAAACGCCTCAATATATATATATATATATATATATATATATATAACATTGAGCGATGAAAAAGAAACTTGAACCAAAGAATAAAAAAGAGAAAGTTAGCCCTCGCAGTTGAAAATAAAGTTTTCGGGGGGAGAGTATAAGTTGGTAAGCGCGCGCGAGCTTGGGACACACAACAAGTGGTCGAAGTCGCGCAAGCGCCGGCAGGAGGAGGAGAAAGGGAACGAGGGGAGGGAGCGAGAGCGATCGATCGCGCACACGCACGCAGGGGGATTCGGCTTATCTCTGCCTTGGCAATGCGCGAAACTTTTTGGCGGCCACGTAACATATAGGATTGCACGCGTGCGTCTGTAGGCGTAAGCAAGCGCTGGCGCACAATGCAGAGGGCGCCGCTCTCTCTCTCTCTCTCTCTCGCGTAGCTACTCATGATCAGTAATCATATTAAGAGTGTGTACACGCTAATCAGATTAGCGTTGCGGGCTTACGCGGAGTAATCCCGAAACTATTCTAAATATGATTAGGCGTCCGCCTCTTCCCCTCCTGGCAGAGTGGGGTCTGTACTACTCTCTCGCCTTCGAGATGAAGAAGAGAGTCCAGAATGCTGCATACAGCTACTCGCGCGCGCTCTCGCAGCTCGGTATTAAGACGGTGATAATAGTTTGCCAACTAGCGACGTTGCCTAGGTTAGCCGCTCTATGGGATGTCTAATAATCCCGCGCTGCCTCTGGCGCTCTCGCGAATCTCTCTCTCTCTCTCTCTCTCACGCGCTGAGAGCGCGCGCGCGGATAACTTTACTGCAGTTCAATCCAGATCAAGTGGCGGCTTTGTAAGGAGATTGAGTGGACCTACTATATTAGACGCGTATTTCGAGCTGCCGTGTGCGCGCATCCGCGTCCCAACGCACGGCTTAATAAATTATTTGGCTGATCGAGGATGATGAGGTTAGTAGGTATGCCAAAGCCACACCGCCATAGCCACAGCGACACAATAAGTCTTCGAGGCGTAAAGCCGATAATACGGCTTGTACGAGGATCTTATACGAGCTCTCCCCTTCTCTTTTTCATTCTGCTTCTTCTTTGCATCTTTACGAATAAATACGTTTTAATTTACGTGACTTCCAACGTACATTATCACTCGCTTCGAACAGCCAATTGTACTCAAGAAAAATAAATCGCAGCGTAGCCGTCGTCAAACTCAACCAAGCATAATTCATGAGTTGAGATGCACTGAACATACAACGATTCTTTTATTACAGGAATTGCAACGCAAACGATCTTGACCATTCCGGTGAGCCACGTGAGCACGAGCAACCAAATAGTTAACCTAGCACTGAGCAACGGTCAGGTGGTGTCGACGACTCTCGCTAATCTGCAGTCGATCGCCCAGCCTCAAGGCATGATGAATACTCCTACGAACAACGGTAAACGAATTACAAGCCATTTCGCGCTCCCGATTACCTTGTATATATATCCTGATCGCATTATCCTACTTTAGTCGTATTTCATTTTGTAGACGTCGGAGTGTCGATACCAACCGTGAAGTTAATAGCGATCAGTTTATCGGACATTCATTCAAAAAAAAAAAGAAAAAAAATACAAATATTTATATATATCTATATTTTTTTCGTTTCCAAAAAAAATTTAGACAATTTAATGCACGATTGCTGAAAATTCTCAACACGTCCCAAAGGATAAAGTCCCGCGCACAGGCGCAATCCCTTTGGCCGTTAAACAGCGACCCCCAATAAATCCCGGCAAGTCCGCAAGTAAGTTTAGTCGTGTGCAATAACGTGAGCCGTTTCTCTTTCTCGGACACGCAGTGCCAACGAGTCCGAGCTTAGGGCCGAGCTTAGGCATAAACCCGGCGGCGCTACCGCACTTGCTCAGCAACAACACAGCCAGTCAGCAGCTACTCAGCGCGATGCAGCCTCAGCAACTGCTTCAAGCTGCACAAGCTCAGGCTCAGGCCGTTGCCCAGCAGCAAGCAGTTAGCCAACAGCAGCAGCAACAGCAGCAGCCTTTACTCGCTGCATCACCACCACAACATTCGCATCGACACCAGTCACACATCAATCATTACGCGGTAAGTATATTCTATTTTCCACTCCTGCTTAGTCGCCGTCTCGTTGCGCTTGTTCAATTACTTGATACAATCGATTCAAAATCATTGTAATTATTCACGTATGCGTGTCTTTGATGGCTTATTAAAGTGATTTACTGATAAACACGACATTTCAAGGCATCAATGAGAAATAGCGAGTCAATATTTAAACAAGATCTGCGTTTAATTAAAGTCGTATTTCAACCCCGCGAACGCCTAATTTATAATTCACCGACAATTAGGTACATATTATGAAGCTGCCATTCCATCGTAAATGATATACTTGTAATTTGCGACAATCCGCATATTTTAATAAAAGTTATTCGAGCATTTTACTCGTTTATAATTCACGTACATCAATAAGCGTCGCAAGATACATTGAAAATAAAAAGCGACAAATTTGTAAATACCTTTGAGGAGGGCTAAAACGAGAGTAGAAAAAGAAAAAAATATAATTGTAGTCTCTCTCTAACTCCCCCGCCGACGAGTAATCTCGTTAAGAAAGTATTCCCGTCCAGCGAATAGCACTTCCGCCGCTAATTAGACGGGCGAATTGCCCTCCGGTCCGCGACGCCCTCAGCCTTATTATTACCATAGAATACACAATTGAGAATCGTGAAGGACGCTTAGGCCTCGTCGACGTCCTCGTCGTCATCTCGAGACGAGAGCTTTCCTCGCTGCTGGCAACCGCATTGCGCTTCACAACATTAAATTATTATTTGAAATGAGAAAGCAGAGAGATAACAAATCTTCGTGTCTCTTGTTTGTATTTCATAGCAGCAGCAAAGTGAGAAACATCACAGGGACCGAGTAGAACAGTCGTCGCCACTGAACGGTTCAGCAGTGTCGGCAGCTACGGCACTCAATCGACTCGCCGCGAGCAATGGCGAGATCACCATCACTACCAGCCACGGGCCTCAAGGCGCCAACGTCAAGGCGTCGCCGAGCAGCGTTCACAGCGTCAAAGATGACGATGATGATCTTCTCAACGATTCCTCCAGTGAGTTACCTTTGACGTTTTCAGTTTCCTAGCTGACAATAACAGCGACCAATTAGCCGAATCACAAGGCATTGAACGTGTAATTCAATTTATAAATTACGAGCTGCCTTGCTAGGCAAAAGGAAACAACTCAAGCGCACTCTCGATGGACCGTTAAAATAGCTGCAGCTTCTTCCTAGCAAATGCTCTTACACTGCAATGCTGTTTCTGATCGAACATCCCTAAAATAGAATTTATTGACTATCGGAGACCGGTTTCTATATCTATCTCTTTCTTAAAATCAATTACTCAGTCGATGAAATATCGCGTATACTGTGCTTTTTCTTCGGAGTATCCACCACTTGCAAATAAAAAATAAAATCACGAAGAAACTTGTGTTGACTTGTAATTAACGAGAAATATGAGTTTGGGCAATTGAACGTGTAGCTAATGTGGAACTGTGTGAACGATAAAATTTACAGACCAGCCAACGATTAACGAAGCCACAAACAATGTCGTCGACGGTATAAATTTAGACGAGATCAAGGAGTTCGCCAAAGCGTTTAAACTGCGCCGGCTGTCGCTGGGGCTAACGCAGACGCAAGTTGGTCAGGCCCTGAGCGTGACCGAGGGTCCGGCCTATAGCCAAAGTGCCATATGCAGGTGAGCATGAACGGTCCTTCTATACACCTTACACTCTTCCTACCCCATCATTTCTTTTTTCTTTAGAGAATTGTGTGCGTGTTTTTATTTAGATGTAAATACGTATAAACATATGTTACTCACGTTAACGCGTGCAACTCAGATGACATTCTGTTGTGTAAATGTATAGTATACTACATTCGCCAGGTCACTTGAATATAGCATGAAATATAATGAAAAATCGGATAAATATTTACGTTGTTTACTCGATAAGACTTCGTCGCCACATTGGACAGTGTGACGATCGAATTAACAAGATCAATTTAAACTTAGCTTTTCTAATGTCGTATTCGGCGTGGCTGTCTGATCGACTAGCTGCGAAATTTTATTATCGAGATGTCGTTACCATTGCAGCACACTGTTATGCTGAACTACTTGCGCGGAATAATTGACGTGACAATAATAAATTTATGAGCCGGTGAACTAATGTTAGGTCGTTCGCGCTTAGTTTATAAGTTATGTAACCAGTTTTTGTCACGGTGGTTCTTACAATATAATGTATCCAATAACGAGTCGAGCGACATTTTATTCGAGACACATTATTATTTACCGCCCGTGTATGTCTGATATCCAAACTTGACTATTAAATGAAAAACAAATGAATGTGAATCACTATGAAAAAAGCTGGTCACGTTTGTATATATATATATATATATATATATATGTATTATATATATATATATATATGTATATAAATAGCTTGTTAGCTTTATTACCGTACTCGACTAATTGATGCATTGGTGATTTCCCAGTGCCCTGGCTTTCCAGATGTACGCTCAGCAGCAGAAGATGTACGTTCACATTCCCTTTATACATTTACTTAATTTATCTAAATTTCTTAAGACCTGTAGTCATACCCAATACGTATTTAACAGAGTCTGTCTCATTCATCGCATTCTTAAGTTTCCTCTCTGAATAATAAAATAAAATAAACAAATATTCAACCAAGCCACTTTTTATCGCTGCTCCATTACCCTTTTTCATAAAAAATTCTTTTTTGCTCATTGGGTATGGTTGCTGAAACTGTCTTGTCTCTTTTCGATTCTTAATCATAACTTTCTTTTTATTTTTATTTTTTTTTGTCTTTTTTTTGTAAATTCTATTATCAGTGAAATGACGAATACGCGAAACACGAATAGATATAATAAAATTAAAAAAAAAGAATTGCATCGGTCGACTATAAAATTGCAAAAGGAGCACTTTTGTAATTATCAACTTTCTCCGAGCCAGGGCATTGGCAAGCTTGGGCATGATGTCGCCAACGCGCTAGAGGCTCCGTTCCATTTCTCACTCTGTCGTTTTCTTTTTTTTATTATTTGTTCTTATACCTTGTTGTTGTTTTGTAACTCACTGTTAGCTTTCCAATGATTAGCGACGTTGATTGTCAAATAGAAAATAATAAATTACTTACAAAGAGCGATAGTAGAGAAAAATAGAGCGAGCGAGGGAGGGGGGAGGGGAAGGGGCGAGGGAGAGAGAGGAGTTGGCACATCATATAAAACCCAAAGCATCACCAAGTCAACGCGCATGCACGCATTGTCAATGTCCTGTTATCGAATAATGCATGCTTTTCTTAGTGCTCCTTTAGTCGAAGGATATATACACGTAATATATATCTTTCAACCACACAATTTTGCATATATCAATTGGAAAACGAAAAAAATAAAACAATCGTCCGACTAATACTAATTTGACAAGAGCAGTATTGGCTTTTTTCTTCAAATAAACTTGCATGCTCATTAACACACCTTAATGTAGCAAACAAATAAGAGCCGTGTGATATAATGAACACCATACGATTGTTCAGGTTCGAGAAGCTGGACATAACGCCGAAGAGCGCGGTGAAAATCAAGCCGGTCCTAGAGACGTGGATGAAGGAGGCTGAGGATAGGTGAGTTGTGCCTTTTACCGAATTTCTTGTGTCTTCCCACCTCATTTTTTTTATTGCGAGTGCGCGTGAAATTCCAATCAGCAAGAAGCGCGATTAATCCTTTAGCGATACTTATCGATCAGCTCGTTGTGGCGGCGCGTTACTTAACCGTTGGTATTTAAATCCTAGTCGTCGCGGTTATAATCTTCTTTTTCAATTATGTCCAAGTTGAACGAACGAGATCTACTCTTCCTCTTTCTCGCTTCTTTGCCGTAACTAATTGAATCGGCGCTCAATTAATCGGCAGCGTCGTAAATATTCTGGATGCCGATTACGATGTCTTTGAGAAATTGACTGCAACGGTCTTCTTTATAAGCGCGGCTGCTTACGATAAAATATGCTTATTTGATTCTCGGTAACTACAGACTCAATTAGACGTCGACACGACGCAAACCCTCCGTAGCAGCAAGTTTGTAAAGCAACGCCTAACTGTACTACACGAGAATGCAGCTGTGGAGTAAAGGAGAGAGAGAGAGAGAGAGAGAGAGAGAGAGAGAGAGAGAGAGAGAGAGAGAGAGAGAGAGAGGAGAACAAAAATCGCAACTAAAAAATTTTCAATAATGCGATATCCGAGCGTAGCAACCGACGATACGGTCACGCCCGCCTCGAGGGGCCTAATGTTGCATTAAAGGGTCGCGCGCTATCGCTACCGATATAAATACCAAACGGGCCCTTGGGCACCTACTCGCGATTCGCTCCGTTATGATTTATCATCGCTCTTTTCTTCTTTATACATTATTCGCCTTGAAGTTTCTATATATTTTTTTGGCTTTCTCAAATTGAATCGATACTACTTTGCGGTGCGCTGGAATTTCAGCCGCTCGCTTTTTCCTGCAGTACTTTGTTCTGCTTGATTGTATCTGCGTATAGTTCTAAAAACGATATCGTGAGCATTGAAATTTCAGAATAAATCGAACGTCATCGATAAACACTATTTAAAAATGAAAAGCTGCAGGAGCGTAGAAAAGATGTGAATAAAATGCTGGTAGTTGTATAATTGGCCAATTTTTGTGGAAACATTGTCTCATGATTGACGAAGTCCAGGCCAAAAACTAGAATTGTCCGAAAGATTTAGCAGAGCGGAAGAAAAACAAAACTGAACTTTTGAAAGGAGTTCTAACAATACCAACGAGTGCAATTGTCGCAAGAAAGAGAGAAGTAAAAGAAATAATAAGAGATCACACGTAAGGAAACAAGGCCGCAGCTAAAAGCTCAAAGAGATAAAGAAACATAAGCCTTCGTTGCGCGGCGGCGACGTCGTCGGGTGCGAACTAGAAGCACTGCAGAAAGCATTCTTCGAACGGCGCACTCGTATACCTGTCGTTTGCGCTTACCCACACTGCTACAGCAAACGACAAACCTCTCTCTCGCTCTCTTGGTTGGCGAGGCGTCGCGCGGAAAAATGAAAGCGGCTGGTTTATGCGGTGCACGTGCACGATTTATCTGCTGAGTAATTAAACTGTGGACTAATTAAAATCAGGTTTCTGATGTGCCTCGCTGCCGCCGCGCCGCCTCCTCCGTCCTCCTATCCCTCCAAGCGCTTTCTTCTCCTTTGCTCGCTTAGCGCGTATCCGCTTTCGAAGCGACGACGCTTATCGCCTCCCTCTTGCCCTCCTCCTGCCTCTTCACTTCTCGTTGCACTCTTTGTTGGCTGCTGCTGTTTGACGCTGGCAACTCGTTGTGAGTACTCGATTGAACGCGCTGAAACGAATCGAATGCTTCTGCCTCGAAACAAGCAGTTTATCGCACACCTCACTCATTTTTTTTTACTTCTTTCGTTTGCTGCCGCCGCTGAATATCTATTGCCGCCCGTTCGCGCGCAACACATCTCTCATTAAAGCCCGCTCGTGTTTTTACAAATTGAAATGGAAAAACGTTAAATTTTCAATCGTTCGCGCGAGCGCCAGGGATGCAACTTATATGTACAATAAATCAATAGCCAGTAGCAGGGCGAGAGAGAGAGAGAGAGAGAGAGCGGGAGAAAAAAGAGTGAGAGAGAGAGAAAGCAGTAGCAGTTCTGGCGACTGCATTTAATTAAAATATGAGCCTCTCCATATCTCTGACTCTCCCGCTCGGGCCTCCCGTATTGATTGCATTACTCTCTGCTCGCCCTTGCACACACGCGTCCGTCACGTATAAGGACATATCTTTGGTGGCGTATCGATTTTTCTTTTGGTTATTTGGCCACGCATTGGGTATCTGCCTCGTTCGTTTCTCCATCTCCCCTCCATTAGCATATTGTTTTCACGGATTTGGCGAAATATCACATACACACACACACACACACACACACACACACACACACATACTCGTACAGGACCGTGCCGCGATGCTAATTTTCCGCGAGCGATTTTTCTCGCTCGCTCTCTCGTGTCGTGTGCCAGAGCAGTTGGTCATTCGGAGTTAAATTAAAAACATAAATTTCAAGCGGCCCGCCCACGTGCAATTCGACGCGCCGACACGGCGCTGTCACCGCTCTCCCTCTCTCCCTCTCTCTCTCTCTCTCTCTCTCTTTCGACTCTCTTTTCTACCCACACCTTTTTACGCACAGTCGAGATTACGCCGCTTAATATGCGACCGAGCCCAGAGAGTCTCGCACACGCGTACACAGAGACAGTCCGCTTATACTCTCGGCGACGTGGAATCTGCATATTTTTGTTATTAAGCGCCCGCCAATCCTCGAGATATACAGAAACGACAGCTGATAAAATGTATGTGCTTCATTGTGACGAAATAATTTACATTGCTATTCTCTTTCTCTTCTCTTCTCTCCCTTTCTCCCGCGTGCCCGAGCCACGCGATATTATGTACACTTTGGCAGCGACTACATCTATTCCAACGTTCTCAATTCAATTGGAAAATTCTCGCGAGTGCGCGAAAGCGATGCCAAAAATTTTGATGGAATAGACTGCTGTGCACCGCGACCTATTTTTCACGTGCAATACGGACTTTGCGAAAATTAAAATTTCCAAGCAATTTGAAGTAATCTACTCGAGTTCACTGGCATAAGATTTTTTCGGGTCGAAATAGCATTGGCACGTGCGTTGGTTGTAGCTTAATTTTGATTTATCCGTGCCGCCCTGTTTTCATTAAAATTATATAGCGACAAGATGACGAGCCGAAAGGGTAAGCAGCTTTTAACTGAGAGCAGTGCGTATGATTACAGGTATAAGAGCGGTGCCAACCACCTGACGGATTTCATCGGCGTGGAGCCTAGCAAAAAGCGGAAGCGGCGAACCTCATTCACACCCCAGGCTCTCGAGCTGCTTAACGCGCATTTCGACAGAAACACGCATCCTTCCGGTGAGTCGGTTTACGCCAATTATCCTATGCCACTTCTCACTCCACGCCTCGTTTACACTTTTCCACGCCTATCTTCCCTCTCCTTTCTCCTCCTTCTTCTGTTGGCTTCTCGGATAATTTTCTTGCACTTTCTATTTTTGCATTACTTTTTCAAAGATTCCATGTCATTTTTCTCATATTCACACTTGAACTTCTTGGTCCAAGAACTCCGATGTATTAGGTATTTAATGACTTTCCAGGTAATGAGATTACAGCACTCGCGCAGCAACTTGGTTATGATCGTGAGGTAATCAGGATCTGGTTCTGCAACAAGAGACAAGCTCTCAAGAATACCGTGAGGATGATGTCGAAGAACATGTCCTCCTAAGACTCGCGAAGCCACGTGGACTCGACTAATGTTCCGTGCCCGAGCGATTGGCTTCAGCAAAGCCACCTACAATGCATTTTCAGAGAGTTTTAGAGAATGACATATTATCGAGAAAAAGCGCGATTGCCACATCCGAATAAAAAAAAGCGAAACACTGTGAGAATAATATAGCTTTAAACTTTCGTTGTGTTCCGTGTAACGGACCAAGCGAGTTAGGTATGATTATTAGGAATGAAAAAAGAAAAGAAGGAACAAGGCGAATAGATACTCGAAAGAAAGTCGTCGAAGGCGTTTCTTCTTTTTCAGTGATTTTCACGTCGATGTATTTCTAGCGAGAAATTTTTTTTCTTAGAATAATCTTTTATTACACGATGATGTTCCGTTATTTTATATAACAACAATATGTAGTGCTATTTTACTATTATTACAATTTATAGAACGGTATTCAGTTTACCTTTGCGATGTAGTTTGTAAAGAACGCTTGTCGACTGCGAGTGCACCAATAGATTTGTCGATAACGTGGATCGAAAGAACAAAATGAATAGTTATTTTTCAGACGAGAAATTTCATATTAACAATTGCACTTGAATTTTTTTTGCGTACTTAAGTGTAAATTTTATATTGGCAAAAACACAATATAGGAGACAAAGATTCTGGAATTCTTAATTTGCTTTATTCAGTATGTAATTATACTTCTGAGCCTGGATAAAGACGCGAAGAATGCAAAGATTGTGAACTTCGACCATGATTCAAAGGAAACTCATTACTTGTAAGATATAAATGCGTAACTACGTTAAATGGACTCATGTTCTATTATTATTATTATTATTATTATTATTATTATTATTATTATTATTATTATTATTATTATTATTAATATTATTATTATTATTATAATATTTTGTCGAAGTATATAAGTTGTAGAATGGTTTTTTCGTCCAGCAGCAGCCTCACGTTCGTCCACGGGAGGTCGCTATTCATTCGAACAACATTATAATATAAAAAAAATAAAATAAATAAACGACTGACACAGGTGGTACACAATCGAGCGATTTCTCGGATCCAGGCGGATACAGGGTAAAGGAGACTGCTCGACTTGCACCACTGAGCATTGTGATCGCAAAACGTATACGCGTGTATTATCTGTAAATAATTTTTACGCAATAGGCAATAAAACGATAAGTTTACGACGATGCGTAGTTGGACATATTGATTTTTATTATTGCGATAACACTGTGCGAATTGGCGAACGATGATATAAATAAGCATAAGAAATCAGAAAAAATAAACGAAATACATTAATTTGTTGTTACTATTATGATACGGTATTTATGAATATTAGCACTTGTTAGCTAAACTTACGTAGTCCGGACAATTTGGTATTCGTTTAACGTAGCTAACGAACTGCAAGCGTCAAGTTTCCCAATGTTCTTTTGCTCGTATCTTCTTACGATTGTTTTTATTCTTTTTTTTTTCTTTTTCTTTTGATTTGTTATAGTAGCATCAATTTTGGACGAAAAGATAAAAATAAAGACGCCTCGTTTGATTCGAACAAGTAATGATGGGCTGAGAAATTGACAGGTACAGATGATTGAGCAAAACACATGAATAAAAGAAAAAAGCGCTCGATTTAGCTGGACTCTCTATAGTGACTACGCACGAATATTTCTATAAAGAATGTTGACATTACTAAGCTACAAAGAAAAAAATCGATTGCAATAACCTCGTCTTTGAAAGTATACTTATGTATCAACAGGCTGCTTCAAATTAATCCATAGGAATAAATATCGTTTCTATTGAGCCATGTAGAGAAAACGTACATTGGAAACAAAATAATCTAAATATTTAACACGTATAAAATTATTTACAAAAAAATGTTATTCACGATGTTTATCCCTAAGGAAAATATATAGAAATTTAAACATCTTAAAAAGATGAATTTGAAATTATTTCGTTCAATGCTAGTCATAATATCTTTTATCTAACGCTAATATTTTACTCAGCTTCTATTCAGTCGCATCAGATTATTTTAATGCAAAACACAAATCTTACTATCGTCCAAGCTTTTTGTCTCGCTCATTATGATTTGTAATAGCACTTGAAAATAATTACAGAAGAAAGTACTAGATGAGTGACAAAGAAAGCTACTTTTAAAATATTACTTTTTTTGGTTAGATATTGCTAACAAAAATAATATTTTATAACAATGATAATCACATTTTTTTTATTCGAATACCGATTCCAGCTACTTAGTAGTCGGCATTTATGACACAATTTTCGATCAAATGTTGGATCTGTTCTAAAGAAAATGCAAAGTGTAATAAATTTACATGCCTTACTTATTAAAGTTTTCAATTAAAGTAAGTTGTTTGTTGACCAACTGAATGAGCTTCTTGTCGCTAAAAGAACATAGTTTCAGCCTCCGAGCGTAGCCTGTACATAGTAATTTACAAGAATATAAATAATTACACGATAATAGGCACTCATAAACGATAAAATTTACTTCAAATTAATTATCACAGCTATGAAATAGCTAGGCAAAAAGGAAATGAAGAAAGCGCGAAACAAAGAAAATTTACATGGTTAAAGGTTGACTATGAATGGGCGACGACTATTTTTAGGAATAACGTAACTTATAAGATAATGACAAAGATGATGAGCAAAGTGGTTTGTTCCTAAAAACTGTATTATAAAACGCGAGAGCGCACTCTGTGAGAGGCGAGTCGAACGGAATATTCAAAATTCAAAATTTATATCTCGATAAATAAAAAAAATGTGCGTCAGCGCGACGCCACAGTATGTTATGTCCTTTTTGATAAAAAGTTGAAAAGATGTAAGCGAGCGGTCGAAAAAAAACGTTTGTACAGAGATATTCCGGTTATTAAATTTTGTTACGTGGTTGGCATGAGATAAAGAGTACGCTAATGTGAGGGAAAAAATGAAGAAAAAACGAATAAATGAGAAAAAAATCATGTATATTTTCTTCGTGAAAATTTCACATCTAAATAAAACACGGCAAAAGAAATGAACTCTTAATACTTAGGCTACAAATAAGGGGGAAAAAGTAACGTGAGTTGTATTCGTGAGTGTCATATTTCTAAGGAAATCGCAGATCCACGGGCTAATGTTTCACAGCAGTTTCTGGCAGAAATGTCAGCGCTCCGCGCAAAAGCAACTCTCATTCGTGATGAATATCCAAGCGCCGATGCGATCGATGCATCGCTTTTTTCGATTGCCATTCACCTGTATAAAAATCACTGTAGTACAAAGCCATCCTCGCGTTGAATATAAAAAAAATTGTCAAATGGGCAGCAAACTGAAACGAACTTTCGGCAATACCGGGAGGAAACTGCTCTCGAAACATTACCCGGTGAAACCAAAGTTCCTACTACATTTTATAAAGTTACTCGACTGTAAAACTGGGATTGTAAATAAAAAATATAAGAGACGCAAGTATTACAATAATAGTATTTACAGAATACAATCAGCAATTTCAAGACTATTAAACAAGGCAACAAAAAAACAAAAAAAAATGTTATTTCACGGAACGTCAATCGATGAAAAATTAGTAACAACGCTCAAACTAAGAGAGACAACATGCACATGTTCATCGAATAAGTTCAGAAGAAAAGTGATAACTGGCGTGAGTTGATGTTATATGCACGCGAATCGTATTGTGCGTTTGAGTTGTTCTTCATTCGCGAGATGTATTCACATGGTAACAAGTGCATATACAAGCGTATCGCAACCCTACACCCAAACAATAGCGAGAAAATATAAAAGTAAAAATATATTAACAAATAATGAACAATGAAGCAGATAGTCGATTGGCCGCGAAACTACAGTTTAACGTACATACACACACACAGTCGGAAAATTAAGCACATGAGTATACAACTAGAGACTAAGCGAGACAGTAGCTTTAGATTAAATGTTAGCGGTTAGGTACGATGTAACATTACAACTACGTATTTAAAAATAAAACGATAAAAAATACAAAAACAATATGAAGAAAGGAACTTTAGACTATAAGCGAATACCTGTGTAAAATCTAGTAGGTGTCCACAAGAATTAAATAAAAACATATATTGTGGTACAAATCAGAAATGAGCATTTGTCATTCTTTTATTCATTCATTATTGATTTTAAACAAAGCCTCCTTTCCAAGATCAATACATTCTCCATAAGTTTTCATTTATAATATATATATCTTTAACACTGTTACAACATTATATTATGTCAAAATACAGTATCAGCTACAAATGCAGAGTTTTAGAGTGGCTTGATGAAATTCAGTCCTTAAATATGAGATTTCATATCAATATCCTAAATTTATCTCGATAATGTCCGTTTTGTCGAACGTTTGATCGAATATACAAAGCATATTTTTAATATTTTTCCGTCGAGGCAACTAATTGAAAGTCTGGTTGCTTCTGAGTTATAACTCTTTTTACACCACCTGTATATTCTATAATCAAATAGCACAACATGCCGAAGGATAGCACTCCTATTAAGATATACAATTTCACGTTCGAGCAGAGATAAGGGCTATAAGCGTACGTAATCACAGAACCAGTTGCTTCCCAGAGTTTGAAATTTGAGTAACCAGCTTCTTCTTTGCCTGGGAATAAGAGCCCACACAGTGCTGTAAAAGAAACATACATAGTTATTACTCTATTTTATTACTTTACTTGTATTAATTATGCACAGTTAAAATTTTTAATATTGCCATCAGAAGCTTTACGTTCTCTTCGAAAACTGCATTTCCCGCTGCAAAATAAATGTCGGTAAGTTACCGTCGGTAGTGTATTACCTTTATATTGTCGAGTGGCACAGAAGTTGAGGTATCGAAGAATGGTAACATTATTATATTATAGACAGTAGTTGGTTTCATTTGCCAGATTCAATTTTAAATTAAATACAAATGTATAGCACTAACGCGTTCACTAACATGCTCGAAAAACGTTGGAAAAATATACATGTTGGTCATTTTGTCGATAACTGAGGGCGTAAAATTATTTTTGTATTCTATAAATAAATATGTTTGGTAGAACATCTAATTCTGAAAGAAATGCACTATTTCTGAGTGCTGTAAAATATCTTAGAAAAAATGAAAGAAAACGATTGTGTCATTTACCAGTGATCGTATCAATCTACTAGATTTCATAACTTTTAATTAATTTTTGTTAACGTCCAAACAGTTCATTTTTGAAATGTAATAGGCGAGTGTAATTGTAACTGGCAAAGATTATACGCAGAAAATACGAAGAGAAAAATAAATTTTAAATTGATTCAAGTATTACTGAGTATATCTTTTTATAAATGCGATGGGGTAACGTGTATGTATTTATATAAGAACCAATACCGATACACACTTCAAGGCTTCTACTGTTCCAGCACTCTCAGTATGCTTGTCGTGTACATAGATTGCCAAATAGAGCGTCACGTTAGAAGGCGTATCTCCGTTTGCGCACGTTGAAATTCGCGGCGAACCGTGTAAATTCTAGCGTACATAGTCTCACTGGGATAAGATTGAACGTTATATATATCGCACGTTAGTGGCCCACTTCATCACTTCTATAGCAAAGTTTGCAGCACTTCTCTCTCCCTTGTGGAAGAGGGAATGTGTTAAAAATACATGCATGCCATAACACGCCACGTGAGCGTGAGCGTGTAAGAAGTCAAGCTTTATGCACACCTACAATCTACACACGCTACACGTTTTGAGCGAGCGGTGTTGCGCAAGCAGGCAGCCAACAGGTGTCTGATCAAACGAATTGAATTTCAAATTCTGATCGTAGCAAATTGCAGAGCCATAAATGTTGCTTTACTGTGGGTGATTAAAACATCACTGTGAGTTTCCATATGGAATTGCGAGCTCGCTTTCCGTGCGTTTGACCCCGATAAAAATCATACATACTTTTTAAGGTATTTGTGTTATGGCCTTGCACATCATATACTGCAGTTCAGTTATTTTTCACGATTCACGCTATTATCCATAAGTACCCGTTTATCTTATTGTAAGGGACAAGTAATGTCGAGGCTATAACATCTACTCTAGAGAATTACATTTAATGTAAATGACTCTGAATGATAATACATTCGAGAAAGACGGAGGGAAGATGATGTACAATAAGATGAGTTTTTCACTCTCATTATTTTACTAACGACTCCATCCGAAAAATAATTAACTCTAGGTAATATTTTTATGGAATGCAAATCTGTGATTAATCATTGAGCTCATAAGAAACAAGTTTTGACATTAATTCATTTTTGATTGATTTGAAAATTCTTTCAAGAGTGAATTTTGAAATTACTTTCAAATTCTCGGGGATTAAGCGAAATTACATAATCTACAATTACCACTGAATGTGAAAATGTGAAAATGGAATTTTATATCTTACGGGTAAATAGTATTTGCTTACCGTTCACTTGGACCAGCCAAATGGCATCGCAGACACCCCACAACCCGGAAATAAGAAAAAAGACGAAGCCGTGAGCTTGCGGTGTCCAGATAAGTAGGGTAATGAGAATGACGACATGTAGAAAGAAAGCAAACAGCATCACCGGTACCCTGCCAGTGAGCTTGACCACCGAGCCGGTAGCAGGCGCAGCGATGGCGTTCACCACTCCGAAACAGATCATCACATAACCGATGTTGCTGATGCCCCAAGCGCACGATACGTATGCCTGCAATGCACAATTGTTAGTAGCAACTAACTAATCACTGCTTGATATTGTCTCGCGTTCACTGGTCAACATAATACGCTTCAAACTTGACGCGTACACATTAGCTGTAGTAACGTTATCGCGCTACATACGATTGACCTATACACACATATCAATCAACGCTTCATGTTTACTTGGGTCAAGTTCGTCACTTTGCTAAATAAACATTAGTTGTAATTTTCGCTACGTGTAGATATTGCAATGCGATAAATTAACGTGAAATCAGATCTTTTAACTTTCATGTGATTACTTATACCAAAGATCGTTCTTTGTTGACGGACAGATACGTACAGATAAAATCACAGACTATAGAAAACAATATGTTTAAATCTAATCGTAGTTTTCGAAGTATTTTTAACATATAGCAGCCTGTTTTTTTCACATCCTATCGCTCACATATAGATGAGTTGCAAAGGGTTTGCCGCTCAACCGTACGACTGTTCGGATATGTACGAGTTTTTTTCAATTGACGAATTGTGAAAAACCTATAGCGAAATAATGAAGTATACTCGATGTTATTGAAAAATCAATAACACTGGTCAAATATCAGCCAAGTTATTGAAAATGAAAAGATTTATGCGTGCTATAAGTAGCCAACGCGAACAAGCAGGAAATTGCGGATATATGCTTGTGATTTATGTATCAATAACTACTCGCGAAATAATGAATTCAGATTCGGGCAGAAGGCGATACATCGAGAAAAGATTGGCAATAACATTAATTCATAGACTGTAATCGGATAAAATTAAAGAAAACACTAGTTACACGATAGCAAAAGCTAATTGTTTGATTGTGCACGTGTGTGTTTCGGATTGGAGTTGCGCACACTGGCGCACTGGTGGCACGATCGGACGAGCTAATTAGCGGCAATAGCACTTACAGCATTGTAGTCAGCGAACAGGAACGCCTGCTCGGCTCCGATGAAAATTGTTATCGGCAGAATGAGCAGCTGGTTTTTTTCTCCCAGCAATTTCAGCGTCACTGCTAAGAGCTTCAACCCGGATTGGCCTGTCGCTGAACCCGTCCGTCCTCTGTCGTACCTGTATATATACAACCATAGTGTATAAAACTTGCATTATTTTGCTGCCGTTCTTATTTTCCTGTTCTTTCGTTATTAAACTGAGATTGAGTATCTTGCCTACCGAGCTCTTTTTAATTGACACCAAATATATGTACATTTCATACGAGCGTTGCAGTCTGTCATCAATTAATACAGCTGTCCTGGGTTTCTGTGGTACAGCCACATTTTATAATATTTTAAATGTTTTTCTTTCCCTTCGATCTATATCTAAGTTTTCCATATTTCAAGTGAACTACCTATAACCGATCGTAACGCTATGCGTTTTACTTTTCAAAGTACCAACTCTATCGTGTCTGGAATGCCCGAATATATGGCAATACATTTTGCCGTGGAAAGTAAAAGCTTTATGCCATCGCAATGAATTTTATCAGAGTGTCCATGGCTTTGAGCTGGCTCAGCCTTGTATTATTTTTTGTTGCAGTATTAATATCTTGAATTGAATTTTTAGATTATTTTTTATTTTATCTTAAGTATATGGCATTGAGTAACCCTCTTACTTTTTCATTTTTTGCGTATGAAGAATAGCTATTTTACGACATTTTTTTTATAATCAGCTTCTCTATCTTATTACAACTCTCAATTGACAAACTTTATATTGATATAACGTGGTTTCATAGTATAATGTAAGTGTCGTTTAATTTCGTTAAAATATTGTATAAGAATGTTATTAAATTTTTCATGTAATTAAATTTGTTGCTTACTCATGTAATTAAATTCAATCAACGATGATAAATACTTACACAGTCAACTTAGACAACTCATTTCTACTTTCGTTCAAAAGTGTAAATAGGTTTTTTTAAATAAAAATTATAAGTTTTCGTAATTCTACATGGAGCACTTGACGTGATCCGTCGACTATGAACTTTTATGTGAAACATTAATATGAAATGTACAGTTGTCTAGAGATAGAAGAATGAACATTGAACAGTATTTTAGGCGTTTAATAATAGGTAAGATAAGAGTTGGAAGAAAAGATAGCAGAAACGAGGGTAAAATGTGAGAGGAGGCGGGCTACTCAGGAAAAGTTGTTGTAAAATCAAGAGGCGAGAACTTTTACCGTGATATTACGATCGATCCACCCCGATTTGTCTTCTCGGCTACGCCAAACTTTTGCCGCTACCCGGCATCAGCCAATACGTAGTGTGCTAATGAGTCTTGCTCCATTATAGTAAAATATATACATACCTCGTCAGCGAATCGACGCCAAATGCGACGATCAAAGAGGCAGCAACCATGCAACCTAAATAAATGCCAGCAATCAGATGAATCCTTTCGATAGGTGGCGGTTCGAGATTCGGATTCTCCGTAGCCGATGCGGCTCCGCAAAAATTGCTACCACACAGCTCACTGACGAGACTGGCATTTGGCATCACTTCATCATGCGGGCTTGAACCATATGATAGTACTGTGGATGCGATAGATGGATTAATTTAAATGTCGAATTCGTGGTTCAGCGATGAAAAAGGATTTAATTTCGGTGTTATATATGAGCCTTCACAGCCGTGAACGCCAGCGCTGTACGTCGAGTTTTTCCAAGCACGTAACTTGGATTTTGGGGATTGATTCGCCCTCAGCACGAGTATGACCTGTTTTTCAATGGCCCAACTTAATTTACCGCGCGTATGTTCCGCTTTCAGTGCGCACACGCACGCGCTTGACTTTACTTTTCCCGATTATGTCGTGGTATTTCGATAATGGCAAAATGCTTAATTTATGGACTACCGAACGTACAAACTTTCCGCGCACCATCCCCAACTGCCTGTCGTGCAAAGATCCAACATTATAATTTAATAGCAAACTCCATCCAGCTGGCGGCTATGCGGCGCACGTAGCTCTCTAAATATTTGCAAAAAATAAGATTATGCAAAAATATATGTTCATTATGTGGCATTTTACTGTTTTAATTATATCCTGTATTTACGAAGACAGCGTTTAATCTAGCGATATATTTGATGTACACGAACGCGCCTCAACAGATAACACGCAAAAATATTAATTGCCAATTTAATCTCTGATCTCAACTGTACATTTCTAAATAAATGAAGACTACCGGAGATTTTCATGCGATTTATGGATATATACTGCAACTCAAGTATAACAATGTAGCTCTTTTAAAGAAGTCGCCTTGGGCACAATTTGACAGGCCTTAGCTGGCTTCGTAGTTCAATACAACCTGGCTGCGGATAAGAAAAAAAGGCGAGATTCTGACACCATTCTGTTTCATCGCATCACTGCTTATCCTTGAATCTACCGTGAAGTGTAAATACGGTCTCTCCCGGTACACCTGACATTCAAAAGGCCAGTCCGAAATTTCAAACTCTTTCGGTCTTGCGAACTCACGTACAGCGCCGCGCAGATTACTGGAGCTCTTCAGCAAACAAGGAAGCGGAACAATGTATAACACTTGATCCGTACCGAGGGTGGCGCGTCGCGTTAGCTCAAACAACTTTTCACGGATAATTGGATTTAGTTTACCTCTCGGCATCGACACTCGGATGCGCCAAATGTCGTATGCAAATATCTCCTTTCTTTCATTTAGTTTGATACTACCAGGCAGAACACGTGACTTCGTTTTCTGCTCGTCTGCCGCCAGCCTTGACTTTTCTGTAGCTTAGTCGTGCACTTTAATAAAAACCGATAGCATCGTCGTCACACGTTGATTTGCATTCATAAAGGGGCTGCGCCTGCGTGCGGGACAATGCGCGCGCTCGGAAGGGGTTGATAAACTTACCCTCCCCTACCTCAACCTCGTTTTTTCTCTCTTTTTCTATTTTTTTTTATTCTTTTTTCTTTTCGTTCTTTTGCAATTGCACGCTCATAAATACATCGCCGTTCCAGCGCGATGAGATCGTAAATTGTTTTACGAACCTTTCTCATACGCCCCGTCTATACTTAGTGATTGTTTTTCCTACTAGAATCTATAATCATACGGTCTTCGACGTGCTACGTACGGCAGCCAGCCAGCCAGCACAGCGTGTTTTTCTTTCACGATGCAATTGACGAGCTATTGAATGTTGCATTAGCATATGCACGCGCAAGCATACCGGCCGCACATTTCTCGTTGACTTTTCTCTAGTTTTTAATAATGCATGCCATCGATATTGCCGCGACGGCTCGAGCTCGCCAAACTACGATTTTGCATAATTTGATATAAACACTTTACCCGGCAGTACACAGTGAATACTCGTGAAAGGAAAAAGATAAATAAGTAGAGCGAGAAGGAGGCTGCGACTTCCCACAGACCCACTCCGATGATTACATCGATCACTCACGCTTACGAACACGTGCACTCCTATGCAACAGCGTAACAAGATCGTTCCGTTTGGGCGCTGGTAAACTTTGATTTACGTATTTTCTGGTATGAAAAACTAACCAAGAATAATTGCGACACAAATGACGGAAACAATGTCACAGTTGAATCATTCGAAGCGATATTTCCGCAACCATCGGTCATTCTGTCTTTTTCTAGTCGCGATATATACATGTACTAACCTGCTGAGGAGATGAGATTGCCCCAAACTTGGGCCATCTGATAGAACATGAAGAACAATCCGAAGAACCGGGTGACGAGTACGTCGGCGCCCGAATCGCTGATCATTGCGTAAGCTTCAGATACGACAGTTAGGTAAGTGCATTTGGCGCACCATAGCGGTCCACCACCAAGACCCACCGCCAAGCCTGATGGGATCATCGTGTAGAATCGAGGGTAGAACTGCGCTGCTATGAATGGCATGTAAGCCACGAACGACATGGCTATGGTCCATTTGCATCCTAGCCAGCTGCCATCAGAGCGAGACAGAGATAGAGAATGAGACTGTCAGTGAATACACATATGCACACACACACACACACACAAACAGTGCGTTCGTTATTATTGAGTATTGATTGATACGAGCCACGGAATTATTGCATTGTACACATTGCATTCTGCACGTTACGTTCGAGCATCATGAACTCAGAATACTCGCCTGAATACATGATTTTCCAAGCTTCCGTTCTATGATAACTCAATTACTCTATTATAAGCTACGCTTGATTATTGTTTGGGATCTTCTATTATCGAATAGATGTACAAAAGCTGTTCACTGACTTGTACTATTGTGAAATTATATGCGTTTGATACTAATCATTTCATAATGGATTTTTAATGTTCATTATTATTATGTTTTGAAAGCGAAATAATGTATTCATTACTATTTTGCAATTAAATCAGTTTCTAATTTTATTCGTTAAGAGTAATACTCTTGGTTTGCTTCATTTGTTGATTGAAAATAACAATTGCAAGCACTATAATGAAATTAATCCCGAACGCTATTCTAAGATATTCCATAAAAACAAATTACAATATCCAAAAAAATACACAATAACCGAAGTATGCCAAATTATTTTTCTTTTATAATGATTAATGTTATTATAACAAAAATAATGAGCGTTGTAGAAACATTAGACATTTTAGCGATAATTAGTTTTCGATATAATTTCTATAAATTTAACAAACAATATATGAAAACAGAAAGTTGAGCTATAAAAAGCTATAGATAGAGTTATAATATAGCTTCGAAAAGATTCATTCTGCTATTGGCTTAACGACTTATGTGACATATAAAATTGCTAAAGCAAACTCATAGCGGTTATTTATGATGTTCCGATCGTTACCAAAAAATAATAAGTTTAAAGAAATAAAATCTGTTTTTAAGCTTTCTGCAATATATTTACGGGTATCTGATAATTTTTTTAAATATTCAGTAAAATAGTTCAACCCTATACTATTGAATCTACTCTGCCATAACTTTTCCGTAGAAGAAAGAGTTTGCTCACACAACTTTCCTCTTTCATTTTTCTAGAGTTACCAATTATTTTTAACTTTTTTACTGATGGTCCACATTTCAAAAAGTCGAGCTGGCAAGTAAACCTTTCATCAATCAAAGCATGGATAGAAGAATGCTTTATATTAGTTTTAACTGGATTATTTCTTCTGCATATGTTCTCTTTTTGTCACCACAATCACTATAAGTTTCCATTATAACACAGAAAATGCCGAATGGTACATTTTTCACACAGTGTGCCGAAAAGGAATCACGAATTTATTCTCTGGCAAATACTATTACAGAAATTAAGATAATACAAGAATATTATTTTCAATTTCATAATATAAGAGATTTCTTAGTAAATTATATACATTGTAACATAAAAAAATTGCGATATACTGATTTTGTTTGTACAATATTTCACGAGCAAGACCTACTTTTTATTCTTAAATAATGCCATGAAGCGCTGTTGCTTGTAGTTGCGATTTAATTTTTGAATTAATTTAAAGTAATTACAGCAGCTTTTAATGCATTTTTATGTTTATTTTTAATAGTGTTATTAAAAATCTCAATGAATCTAGATTATGTTTTTATTAAATATTTTTACGCAGTTTTAAGCTAAATCTTAGTTAATTCTATTGAGAAATGTATTTTATAATATATATGCAAATTTTCGTGCAGGCATAAGACAATGTCAAATATTCTGATCTAGTAGAAATATAATCATATTTTTTAATATCTGACATTTCTCTAGGCTAAATAGACAATCGAGAACGTATTCCTTCTTTACACAAATGATTAAATAAATCATTTTTCTCAAAAATATTTAATGAAAATTGAAGAAATTTTACCTGATCATCAGAACAGGTAGAAATATGTTACTGAAGATTAAACTTCCATATATTGCAGCAAGAGTGAAAGTCCCAAGTGAATTATCGACATTGACAGAACTTTGAAGATTACTTGCGCCCATAAAAGCTGTAAATTGGATCATGAAGGCAAAGCCTATCATTAAAATGTTTTTTATAATTCTCCATCGCTCAGAGGGTTTGAAGTCGTTTGGCTTAACTTCAACCAATTTTGACGACGTTTCCATTTTTGAAGCTGTCTACTCGTAGCGACATATACCCTAAAAATAAAAAAAATTTATGAGCGTTCAATATTATAGGTTAGTGGATTTTCAATAAAATAGTTCATAGTAAAAAAATTATTTTAGTTGAAATAGTTGTTTATGTTGAATCCTTACATTATATTCATTTTTTTCATGTAATTAAAGTATATCAAAATTTCAAATAAATATTATAAATGAATGCCTTTGAAACACTGACGAAAAAACATCGTTACACTTTATTCAATTAAATTTAATCATTGTATCAAGAGATAATGTGAGAGATTATTATATTTTCGTGATGATAATTGTGAACATGTGTCGAATGAATATTAGTTAAAAGCATTGTTCGAAAAAAGCAAAATAAAATTTGTCCACAACATGCAGATAAGTATGAATATAAATATGTCCGTCAAGCGATAATATTTTATAATATTTTATTCAGTGTGTCGTGAGTATTTACACAGGCTTTCATGTGAATGTGCAGCCATTTGCTCGATTCACCTAATTACGCCTACTCATTCTTTTTTTATAAGATATTACGTCACCAAATATCAATGAATTTTCCTGCAATCACAGAGGTTGATTAATTATACGCGATGACCAATTATCCTTGAAAAATGTACCTGCATTTTTCACACTTAACATATATGTAAAATAATTTACATAAAGTATACATAATTATGTAGTAATTAAAATGGATGTCAAGATATTAGAGATTGTTTAAAGTTATAAATACCTATGAGTAATGCATTATAATTAAAAATCGACTGCTAATATGAACTATGTAGTTAATGAATATAATTATATTAAGTCTTCATATTTTATTAATTTGCTAAAATTGCTTCCACGAAAGTCCTATTAGAAATCTACTATGCTTATTTCGTAGAAGTAATAAACTATGGAATTGGAGAGGCTTAGAAAGGAGCTTATTATACTGATATTTATCATTTACAAATTAAAATTTAAAAAATAATTAGTAAAGGTAAATTTATAACTGATAATTATTCTCTGACTATAGTATAATTATTTACATTGTAATCACAATCGTGTCATTATACGGATTTAAGTAGCTATTTATTTAGTACTTTACCTAACATTACTAAGATCTTATTAAAAAATAGTTGCCGTTTGTATATGTAAAGGTTTTTAACATGTTATCGTTAGATTGGAAATATCTGAAGCTTAATGTCAAAGCTCAAAAAAAATACAAGTTAAAAGAATGGATTGTTAAAACATAATGATTTATCAATAAGATCTAATCTGTCATTTATGTAAATAGTAATATAACTGATATAATACATAGCAATGCACTTCCTTAGTTGTATGATTAAATAAGTTTTTAAGGAATCTCCAATTATGAAAATCTAAGTACAGTAGTTTACGTATTACACTGTAGATATTTTAATTAAATAAGTATATTGTTCAAAAACCGATCAAAAGATTAATCCATTAGAATAATTAATTACAATTGATTTATTTTCTAATAAAAAACGGCTTATTCTCGTTACACGAAACATTTTTTATTTGAACTTCTCACGTTTATTATATTGGATCATGACTACAGTGCAATATAGTCATCAATTATATTTCTTATGTTACATATCCAAATTTAGAAGCATATGCCTCGTTCAAATACTATGATATGATTTGATTTATGAAAAAAAAGAGATTATCTAACGTTATTAAAAAAGTGTGATCTTGAGGTATTTGTAGAATTGTGTAACTCCAAATCATATAATACATTAAGACGTATATTCCAGCGATTATCTTATGAATAAAATTTGCTATTATTTACTAATATTTAATTGTACCAGAAAATTCATCCATGATAAAACAAAAATTTGGAATATATTGCTGCCGTGCTATGCTTTTTTTTAATAGATATCCGTAAAAAATATATTCTTTAAGAATTAAATTTTCGAACTTTAAATTACACATAAAGTATATATTATTTATACTGTGTATTACATTTATATATTTATACATTATATATACTTTATAATAAATAAAATTTGCAGCAAATTGAACGTTATATGAATTGATTACGATATGAATCATTTACTGATATTGCTCTATATTTTTTGCTCAACGCTATTTCATAAAAACGTAACCTTCATTTTTTACAACGTTGTAATACATTTACAGACTGTTCAGGTTACACAGATCCAATGAATATAACTTTTTTCTATTTAATTTGTTAATATAATATTGTTCACAAAATCAATTTCTATTATTTTAGTCACATACTCAAAATAACTATACTAAAATAAAAACTTTATATATAATGTACTTTCATAAATGTTGGTTTATTAATTAAAAATATTAAACTATTTTACAGATTTTCAACAAGTGAAATGTATTTAGCCACTGTAAATAATTAATTAATAAAAGTAATTAATGCCTTATTGTTACGGGTTTGTTTATCTTTCAGACAGTTGTTCCAATAATAAAATTTTTGATAACTAAATGTACCAATCATCCACCAAGCCAAAAATGTTTTCGTTTTCAAACAAAAATAATATAAAAAAATGATATTGTAGATATTCTACAATTTTTATATTACAACATAAAATTTATGTACTTTTTATGCATAATTGTTTGTTTACTTCTGTGAAATAAAATTGAAAACAGTTATTAACAAACCTTATTGGTAACAATTATAAAATTTATACATTTGTTTTTACCTTATATTGAATTGATTCCAAGGTAATTTTTAATGACGAAATTAATTATCTTTCTTTCTTAAATCTCGTCCTTAATCTTATCTGCATTGAGCTTCGACACAAAAAATATATATGAAGACACAGCGTCGTATCCTAGCGCATATATTTTAGTATGTAAAGCTATTTCTCGTGACAGAAATCGAAAAGTTCACATGACAAGATTCGAAGCTTACCGATTTCCGCAGTCTTCCGGTAAGTGAGCATTATAGTCTGTGCGGCGCTGAGCAGTCTGTGCTAAAAGCGATAGCCGCGACAAAGAGTGAGAATGAGATAGAGAGAAAGAAAGAGAGAGAAAGAGAAAAAGAGAGGGAGAGAGAGAGAGAGCCAAAACGTTGACGTCGATAACGCCGGCTCTGAACTAAACTCAACCTACCTATTCTTGCACTCAACCAAGCGATCACGCTCACCTCCCGCCACTTTTCTTCGTGCCGCTCGTGCTTTTTTTCTCTAGCTCCTGCGCGCGCGCGTGTATATATATATATATATATATATATATGTATCATTGCATTCGAAAGGATCGTTATGCTGCTGCTGCCGTGCAAGAAAGTTCGCTGTATCTATTTCAACAATAGTTCGTTCTCGCACTTGGTCTTCGAGTAGCGAACTCATTCTTTATCGCGTAACTTATGAAAAATGTGCACTCGGTTTGAGCTCCACTGCATTCATCTTTATCTATTCCCTTATGAATGTGATGCATGGACACTTACGGGCGAAAGAGAGAGAGAGAGAGAGAGAGAGACAAGGAGACACAATATTTCAATTCAACATTGAAACTTTATAGGCGTGTTTTTGCGCAGTAAGGTGTAGCAGTCGATTTATTATTATTGATATCCCCTATTAATCCCGTCCATATAATCCGGTTTTTTACGACAAGACGATGTTATGCACTTTAAGTATTTGTATCGTTGATATGACCAAAGTGGGGTATAGATCTTGCTTTTTCTGTCTACTGAATATTTAAACCGGATACATGAATAGTCATTATAAATCGGCGCCAATTATCATTAGTATTGCAAGATATTCTGTAATTTTTTTTCTCGTTCGAAGAAATATAACTTTTATACTCATTGTCATACTCGTTGTCATTGTAATTTACCGTTGTAGAAAACTTTGACAGGACAAACGATCAATCGCTGAATGAATTGAGCCGTTACTTCCTCCTTGAAATATATTGCTCTTCAGTGTGATTTGACGTCGGGTATGACCTGACATAAATTGAGCCTTGAATAGACCACTGAACCCAGATGACTCCATTGCTCGAAACACGGTCAAACATGATTAAGTAGACTTTACCAATTCCTAATTAAGATAGATCGTTAAAGAATATGTCGCACGCAGAGGAGCAGCCCGATTGAATTCGTGTCAAGTCCTTTTTTTACGCTCCATTGTTAGCGGATGTACTGTACGCGTGAAATTACATTGACGTATAGCTTCTTCGTAACTTTAGAACTCCCAGAAATAAAAATATAAAAACATATAATGAAATAACAATCACCATTTTCAATGGAAAACTGCTAGCAATTCAAACGATAGCGATAATACTGAAGCTCGGAATTTTTTTTGAATCCATAATAAAACAATTTCAAGCATTTCAGAAGAAAGATCAATATTCTGTACAATTTTTGTTGTAGAATTTAATGTTGATCGGTTTATCTGCAAAAAAAGATATACCCGAATTTCATCATTGTATGAGTATATTTTTTAAAGAAACAGAATAATTTTATTGCCAAGTATCAAAATAATTCATTACAAAATTTAGAATTCTATGTTTACTTTTTCACTTGAATGAAAAGAATACGAGCGTCTGAATAATAAATCTCGAAAGCCGCGCGGTAAACAAGTCGGGTGTCTAAGAAATAATTCAAGATTTTCTAGAAATTAGCAAGTCAAAAAGGAAGGAAGAGTGTAAATATTTGGAGCTTCTATCTTCTATACATCTAAGAGTTTCAAGCGTTGCTTTTTTATTTGGCGAAGAAAACCAGGAAATCGATACATTTTATATCGTCTTGGTAGAGTCTTCTCGCGAAGCCAACGATGAAACAAGAAAAATATGGTTCGCTGAGAGATAACCGCTGCTTCCGAAATGTTTGAAGAGTTCATTTTTAAATTATTCGTGTTTTCTGGTCGTCTACTCAAGATTGAGTTTCATATCTGATTTCCTGAAAAATCGAGATAATAACGAGAGTTTTTCATTTTGCACGTTTAATTTGTATTGGTATTAATTTTATTTGAAATTAAAAAAAGACTGCGATTGATACTTCTTTATGCAAATAAATGTGTCCGAAATTCAAGTTTTCCGAATTTTCTTTAGCTTACGCTACATATATGAACTACAAAGTGGAATGACTCCTTAAATTCATTCATTTTTTCTATTGAATGTATCCAATTAGCATAATTATTTTGAAGTGATCTCTTAAATATGATCTCGGAACAATGTCTTAATTAAAGTGAGAGGCTTCCTGTTTCTGTTGTCTTTAGTTCGCGTCTCTTTTCCATTACTTATACAAACAACACGGCAGATGCAAAATTGTTGGCCAACTGTAATTGCGTGTTAATTAGCTAAACAAACAGTACCATAGTTTTGTCTAGGAAACAGATTATATTATGAATCTAAAGGCTAACCAAGTGGAAAATTTGCGGAAACAAGCCAGTCCTAAAAGCAAAAAAAAAAAAAGAAAATAATTTATAGCTATAATTTTACCGATGAATCGCTCGCTTAAACTGCCAGCCATCCAAAGGCACATTTTGTTGGCAAGGAATTGTATCGTCAAGCAGAATGAGGGAAGAACGTCTAGCGAGCGGAGGTTGACTGTAAATTGGCCTGGAACACTTGTTAAGCCACGCGCGCACCCTTATCATCATTCTCAGTCACTTATCGTATGCCAAGACTCAACTTTTACCTAGCGCTAATTGCTAGATTTACGCTGTTCACACCTAATATGCTTCCAACTTTTCGCCGTCTAATCAAACACGGAGAATTTTTGTTGGTCGCATTTGAGCGTCCTCGCGCTTGCACGTCCTGCAGCGCTTGAGCTGAATAACGGCAAGACGGTGGTAGCAACTTATCGACTTCAACTTGCTACGAGATGGAATAGAATGCCCGCAATTCCTTCTGTGCTCTGTCAGTGCGGAAAGGCAAGGCGAATAGCTGGAAGCAAGATGCGAAAGAGAGAGAGAGAGAGAGAGACTTGGCATTCGTGGTAGCGCGCAAATCAGCCGAAATACATAATTTTCTAAGTTTGCAGAATACGCTGCTTCGTCGTGACGTACACCGCCCAAAAGCCGTATATTAATTGGCCCATCAACCAGCTTGTCCGTGGGTAAATGTCTCATCCGGCGCCGCCCGCGGAGGATGCGCCACTATATCATCGATCCTCTCCCGATGCGCGCATCAAGCCTTCTCTCTCGGTGAACGCACACATGAACACTAGCACGCAAATTGCGGGACACGAGGCGATCGAAAAATATCGCGGCCATTCACCCGCACGGAATTTCATGCTTACGTACATCTGATGGACAGTTGTCGCTCGCGCGGGCGCAAGTGAGCGCCTGAATGAGCATTTCTGTGCAGAAAAAAAACCAGCCCAACAAGCCCATGTTCAAATTTGCGGACAGCTTTGACGATAGTTGATGGGAGGTCAATAAATAAACTCGCGGCACTATCTGTAATCCCGATAGGATTGATAAGCCACGCGCGCCTGCAAGCGGCGTCTTCGGGGCTTTTCTCTCTCTCTCTCTCTCTCTCTCTCTCTCTCTCTCTCTAACGCCTTATCTTCTATGCGCGTATAAATCCAGAAAAGGAGGAGAATGAAAGAGCTACCACGGATTGTGCAGCGCGTCGTGGCTAGCGCGCTCCAAGCGACTGATGAAAATCTGAGAAAGCTTGTACTTCCAACGGACAGCGAAATTGCGATACGATGAGTAGTTTGCTTTCACCTGCAATTCAATTGCATTCTTTCGTCCTTCTACTCAATGACGGCTAATATTAGCGTTTCAACTATTTAATCTCGATGTCAGAAACGACAGTCGGATGTTTGAACGAGCGCTAGTAATTATCGCTCGATCGATCAAGTAATAAATCACATGAATTATACATTTGTCAGTTGTTAATTTACGACGATGCTCGTGAGGGAGCTAAGCGGCACAGGAGTAAGGCAACCGATAAATTATTTTATTGCACCCTCGCAGCCTTCACATATTCATATCCGAGCAAGATAATGGTGGCTACCCACAAATAAGCAGCCCTAAAATTTGCTCACGCCCTTGTGCGTGCGTGTGCACGCGCGGCAAGCCTCTGCTCGAAAGAAGCAAAGATTGAATAAAGTTGTTATCTGTCGAGAAAGAAGAAATTTTTCATTAATTCAATCAATCTTTCAACTTGATGAATGAGCCGAAAAAGCGTTCGATACGCTGTGCTGCTTTATATAAACCGCCAGAAGAGCATCAGAAAGTAGGACCTGCTATAATATTTCGCCATGAACTAGCTTGAGTTTTCAAGTTTACTCTCTTATTTCATCGCCATACGCTACAATTCGATCGATACTTTTATCGGTGTTACTTAATATTCAAGAATTGCATGCCGACCTGTGCGTTCAAGTTATTGATGTAGAATATAATATGTTTGATAAACCACATTGTTTACTCTGTAAATCTAGATGTTTGCTTTACACATTCATGAATTCTATATTACCAAAACAAATGAAATCGTAACTATAACATACTCTACCTATATTGTGTAAATGAATCATTGTTTTATGAATAAATCAAAATAAATACCAAAATAAGTTATAAGAGGATGTTATACTTGGAAAAAAATACGATTAATATTTCTTTACCAAGTCGAATTTGTATTTATTTACATCTAATTTTCTTCTGTATAATATTTTTTACAGAGTGTTTCAATTCATTGTATCAGCAATCTGTCTCTCGGAATAATAGTCAGGGTATGATAGTAAAAATTATTTGATGATTTGTTTGAAAGTTTCGATACAACATCATACAATAAAAAAAGTTTTCTGTATTAAAATTATAACAATGCAACCACCCGCGTATATGGAGAACCGGCACGTACTTTGGAGGGATTTAGTTGGAACAAAACCGCTTTCTTTAGGAAGCTCCGTCAACTTTCGACAACTTTTTTATCGTCTATTTTCTACATTTCTTGCCTGGACACAGTATTCTTCTTCTGTCCACTTATATAGAAAATCGTGCAATGTTGGAATCTTCGATCACATACGTTATTCCTTTCGTTGCCATCAATTACGAAGCTTGGTTGTTTTACACATTTGATCCTAGTAATAGCAGCTATTTGAGTAGAATGCAATATATATCGCTAAGCATTGCATTGAACATCGTATAGCCGCAGAAATTGGAGCAGTATTTATCGAACCAATCGACTATCTTCGGACCTGATCCTGCTCAGTGCATGAAAATCCAATTTGCCTTCTCTCGCCATACCTACTAGGTCGAGTATAGTTATCTCACACTTTTCTGCTCTTTCTTCGGAGCCGAAAATATAAAAATTGTAATGGTTTAATTAAATTAGTTGCCAAAGTTCCGTGCACTTTATTTTACCGTCAGAGCACACGAGTGATCGGCAAGGCAACAATCTGAACGAAACAAAAACTGCAAGCCGATAAAAAGTCTCGTAAAAACTTGAGCCTGTTTATCAAGCATTAGCCGCAACGTCGCCGGCAGACTTGCTCTCCTCTCTCTTTCTCTCGCGTGGTCGAATAATAATCCAGGAAAAAAGTCGGCAATCGCTGTTGCTGACTTTCTTTTCGCGCCTTGGCATGTGTATGTATATATATAAACACGCGGGGGAGGTTCGCGCAGAGGGAGTGAGAGAGAGAGAGAGAGAGACAGAGACGGACAAGCAGAGAGCGATGGAAGGGGAGTTGCCGGTGGCGGCGCCGTCGAGTGCCACGAGCATATCCCTTCAGTCGGAGCGCAGCCACGGCCGAGCGGACTCTGTCGCAATCTTGGCCTCAAAATTGAGTTTCCGATTCATTCGACAACGCTTCTTTTCTCTTTTGATTGAGGAAAGCCCACAACTATATACATATAAAACAATGTCGCGCTACAGCCAAATATTTTTCAGCAGATTTTAAAACACGATAAAAATAACAGTGCATTTGGCCAAGCGATGAATATGTGCAAAATGTAAATTGCGAGATTGAAAAACTCGAAGCTCGCACGCGGGAGGATTTTAGTGAAAGTAAGTCAGTAACCGTGGATTTTCGTGTCTTCACCAACTGAGACAGAGACTTTGATTTTTCTTTTTGCTGCCTGTTTCTCACGATTTACGACTTGGTTGCATGTACTATGTCTACTTTTGTTTCTCTCTTTCTCTTTCTCTCTCTCTCTCTCGTTCTGTCTCTCTACTGTCAGCTCGATGTTATTTTTTTACGTAGCAAAAGGATAAAATGCTCGAATTTTGTTTATTTTGTCATGAACATAGTTGTAGAAAACCTTTTGTGATTTGTTTTGATTTTTATGTATTTGAATGTTCACATCAACATTGCATCTATTCCGAAGTGAACTTTTACAACTGTCTAAAAAAAGCACGTACAATCTTATTTTATGCGTTAATGACAAAGAAGATTAATGTATATCTTGAAACTTTTAATAAAATTGCGTGAGATACTTTTTACAAATTTTTTACATATATAATATATTGTAAAAGATTTACTAAATGAACTTAAAAGATATCAAGTAATCATATCAATAAAAGCGTTTTGTGCTTCGGATTTTCTTAATAAATAATACATAACATGTTATAGCTATACTTGGTCTCATATTTGTACACCTGAAATTTAATGAATTATTCTATGAAATGTAATTTTTGTAATATAATTACGAAAAAAGCTTAAAGCAGATTTGGTAATTTAAATGTATTAACTCATATACCAAGAATACAAAACTTATTAGTACGGTCTTTATATGAGAAATTGGTCAAACCCACTATCATTGGTTTTCACTGAAAGAAAAAAAGGTTTAATCAACGTTTTCCGGAAATTACAGTTTTTTCTCGGTTCGTATTATTATTTTTATAACAAAAGCTACCGTGAAAACGATTTTAATAAAAAAAAATTGTTTTCGCGTCGTTACTCTAGCACCAAGAATTAAATTTTCACAACGCAATAACTGAACATTCCGTTGGGGAGCCTACGCAACAGAACTAGTTATATCAAAGGGAAGCAGGACCAATTTAAGACAGAAAAGTTTTTAATTTATTTGCCAAAGTTTCGGCAGTTAACAAATTTACAAGGCCGTATTGTACGACAGAGTAAATTAATTGAAAATGTTGAATCTCCCCCTGGCTTACGCGCGGCTGCTGAAATTATTTGCGTTTTATGGAGCATTGTGAGCCCTACTTCTACCTATATAACCTGAGCTGCGCGAAACAGTGATGATCGGTCTTGCTGTCTCTGTCTCTGTTTCTCTATATCTCTCTCTATCTCTCTCTCTCCCTCTCTCTCTCTCTCTCTCTCTCTCTCTCTCTCTCTCTCTCTACCGCGCGCTAATACAAAAGCGGTCTTGGCGTTTTACGTTTCTCACGGTTGGATAATAATGTTCGACCTGCATTGTTAACGACTGTGAATTCTCATACACATTTGAGCTTCTACTATAAAAGAGGAGCGCGGGAGAAAGAAAGAGCCAATCGTTTTCCTTGCTAACGACTGTGCGTTTCGACTAATCGCACCCTTCACGCTAGCGTTATATAAAACACACATTCAGCAATCCGATTACAGTTGCGAGAATACAAAAAGAATAAACGTACTCGATACTTATCTTCGAGCTTTGGCGCATCAAAAGCTGACATTATTTTTTGTTTGTTAACTATTTGTGAGTTGCGAACACTCGAATTTGTTGTCTAAAATCCATCCCACATGATGTGGTTATGCAATGGTTTCACTTAATAAAGTTTGTAAGCTTAATGTAGTATTCACTATGTTGCTAGAAAGTTTTATTTATGAAAATAAGTTCCTACGTTTGCGATAAATCCAACGTTAACATTTTTTTCCGTCATCAAATCTTTATTAATTTTTTACTGTACAAATTCGATAATAGCTTGATTTCCAGTTGACCAAGCATACATATAATATGGCAAAATCGATATGATCTAGGACTTTATTTAAAATTTTGTGCCACTATCAATTTTAATAACAAAGAATTATATATTTTGTGACTGGTTAATAATCGAACTAAAAATAGGAAAACGCTGCACCAAACAATTATAACATTATTTTACTATTTCAGAGCAGAGGTTGCGTATTCATTAAAATTTTGGACTATAATTTCAGTAAATAGGAAAAGTCTCAAAATGTAAATAAGCTAATTTAAGATTAAAGCATTCAGCATAAGTTCTAACTTTAATGAAAAGCTTATTAAAAAAAAAAATTTTAAAATGAATTTTTCTTCTACTATAATTATATTGTATTCTCTTATGTGAATAAATAAAGCGTATAATACCGTTGAATAATTATTACGCTGAGCGCGCGGGCTGCTTTAAAAAGGAATAAGATTTTTTTCTGTTAGAAGCGTGACTCATTAAAAGTCTTGACATTTTACCGAGAAAATGTTCCATTTTACTTTAATGATAAAGTCATGTCCTTTTTGTTGTGCATACAATGTAATAGTTTTAATATCTGGTATTCTCGTAAACGAAAGGCTTATTTTGTTATTTGAATAAATGTATGAATGATATAAATGAGTGAATCTTGTTGAAAATCTTATACGAAAAGCTTCCGAATGGCTTAAAATTCCAAAAGGGAGATGTAAGTACAGCACAGCCTCGTACATGTGATGCATTAAGAAAGATTTACGTGTGATGGTCTACGAGGGAGGTATCGATTCTGATTTCGAACGGATTACGAAACGCAAGTTTCATTCTATACGAAGTAGGCGGCTTCTGTACACCATACTCTTGATGAATGAGTCAGATTACTCGCGATATATTTTCCTGTGCACTGCCCACCGCGGACAGCTACCATTGCAGATTGCATCGAGGAATTAAATTGAGAATCGGTTAAGTTGATATACCGTATAATAATTTGCGTTTGCGTTTTAAATGTGGGAAAAAAAGTTGTCAAAAAAATACGTCAGTTTCATCTAGAACCACTATGCGTGACGCATTGTGAACACACCAGTAGACAATGTTCGAAATAAGTTGTTATTTCTATCGTGATTATTAAAGCACAAGGAAAAACACGGAAGGTCAACGAAAAACTGTTAAGACGAGTCATTATAGGAGTTTGTAAACTTAAGTGATAATATTGCAGAGATAAATCGAATACCATTTCTTGCGAATGCGGGTAAGATATTGAAAGACCTTCTGGGATTACTGCTAAAAGAAAGGTCAGGAATGAAATCGCTAATGGTTTCACGATAAGATCGTCTCTGTATCTTCTTTTACGCTCTACTCTCCGATGTACAGCGTTACTTGGTATTTTTATTACTTACGCTCGCTTAAGCGTGATGTTGGCGAATCTATGGAGATGCATTGGCCCGCTCCTCTTTTTCCGTCTATCATCGAGTTTTCATTCACTCACGTTAATCTTCGGCTTCTATTTTCACCTCCACGTCGCATACACACAATTACTTACCTTCTGTACGTAGTAGCTTCGGTGGAAAAAATTTGCGGAATTTCTCATTAGGAGGCAACCACGCGCTGCGTTTGTTTTTGTTGAGCTTTAATTGCTTCGCCATCAAACGGTATGCTATACAGTAAATGAAAACGACCGATTGTTCTCTGTCAGTCGATGAGAGTGATCGATATCGCGGAATAGTCACGACTGCTGGCTCGCAGTCGTAGGTAATATTCCGGCAATTGACATAGTATTCAGTCGAACATTGAGAACGCGATGTAGTTCAAGATGGTTTAGTTATCGAGTGGGCGCGTATTCCCTCAGACTGGGATCTTAGTTTGTCTTTACAATGATAAGGCACTGTTGCGTCGCATCGCGTGTACGTTGGTTAATTGGAAGCTACACTGCTGCAACGTCCGTGCTTGCAAGTCAAATAACCGTACCATGACCTGTATGAAATTTAATTAACTTGCATGACTAAATGTCAAGAGGCTATTATTCCAACTGGAATTTTCATCACTTTGACCCTCATTACGAGATCAGATCACGTAAACTGAAATAAGTTTCACGTCGCGCTTATTGTTGTTGCTATGATAGCTCGAGGACACGCCCTGTTTTCATTATTATGCTCTCACGACTCTATTAAATGAGTTATTTAAATACACGAAAGTCGGGCATAATCCACTTGATTAAATTTTGCTTCTCCGGAGAATACAGTAAGACCTTGTTCGCTGAAAAATAAGAAACACGGAAAGCTTGGCGATGGTAAGCTAAGCGCGAGAAGAATGTAACTTGTTTGCTTTTTACTGTATGAATTTTCATGAATGAAAGTAATTAAATTTCACATAGCTTTAGCGAATATCATTTACCGTAACCTTTCATTAAAATCTGTTTTAATAAAAAAAAAATATTTTTAATACTCTTCATTCATAATGACAATGAGCTCGTATAAAAAAAAGGATTTTCGCACAGTTAATACTTTTGAGAGTTAATATATAATTACATAGAAAAGACTTATTTCGAAATAACACCAATAAAGTTGTAGGCATTTAAAATTTTTTTTCACTAAAGTATTTGGCTGGCAACACGGATCACAACATGTATCACTTTTTTAGTTTCAGACTCGTGTTTGCAATTGAACGGGAATTAAGAATTACTTTATAGAAATAACATTTCAGAGACTTAAAAGTATTAAACAAACAATTTGTAGTTGAACGTTAATTTTTAAGGACAACACTGCGATAAATGTTGTGAATAGTACAAAATACTTTTATCAACACAAATTCATAATAATTTTATAATCGTAAACTTTTCATATCTGATGACAAATTTAGAGAAAACTGAAAATTTTATTAACACCATAATCCGGGTAAATGTTAATTTTTTCAAAAGCGTGTTTTGAAAAGATAATTTTGCCATTGTAAGCTATAAAAAATATGTGGTTTCGTTAAAGTCTATTAGATTTTTTAAGCACTGCTATCGTAAAAAATGTTGAAATATCGCTCGTAAAAATGTTCTTACCCAACTATATCTACAAATCCCAGATATCGTTCAAAAAAATTTACCAATGCTTATATCACTTTTTTATGATGATACTATATTAGGTGAATCATATGCAGGAATTCCA